TGCCAATAACAGTGACACCTGAAGAGGTGTAATTGGGAGGAATAGCCTCACTGATCTGAACCCGAGAGGTGTTTTGTTCCTGAACCTTGCGCAAACCACAATTTGTCCCTAACGAACACTTTCAAACATAAGGGTGTTCATAACTGCACATGACAACAAGCAGAAGGCTTGCATCTTCGTGGCCTCAGATTCTGATCTCTGCTTATTCCAGACAGTGTGGCTCTGTTAGCTTCATTAGGCAGTGGCCTCCAGCTCACACTGGAGCAGTTCACAGACAAGTGTGAAATGGCAGGTATGAGAATTAGTACCACGCAGGTTGCTGTACCTGGCCCCAAATAAGCAGAAGAAAATGGATGGATGGATGGACTTTTTGTTTATCCAGCCTCTACTGTGTCCCTGTGTCTTCCTGTTTAGTCTCCATCTATGTGTTATGTCATTTTTCTTATTTTTATTTTGGTAGTCTTTTGTCCCTTGTCTTGCATTTGGTCGTTCTTCTTTATCTTTATCTTGTTATCCCTTGATTGCCTGCACCTATATGTTTACCCACCCATTTCCCTAATCTTCCTTTTGTGTATATAAAGCCTCCCTTTGTCCTTGTTATGTTGCACTAATGTTTTCTGTGTGTGCTCTCAATCAGTTCTAATATTTGGATTTCTGCTTTTCTTATAGATTCTGAGATTTGGACTTTGTCTTCAGCTTGAATAAAGGTTTGCTTTTTATTAGCATCTATCTGTCTAGCTGTAGCTTATGGTTTGGCTAATGGGTCTAAATTGGTAAAACTGACCATCCCACGCAGATTCATTTCAAATCAGCAGACAATATACTATTCCCAGTATATATGTGTGCATGTGTGTAAATCTCTCTCTCTCTCTCTCTCTCTCTCTCTCACATATATATATTGCTTTTTCCGGGAGATGGAAAATTGGCTACAAAAAAAGTTCATTTGAAAAACAGCTTGAAAGAACCTAGAAGGAATGCTTTTCATCCTGTTAATGATGCGTGATAAGGAAAAATTGAACTGTAGGTAACCATAACAACAGTGCTTATACTCGTCATGCTATGCAACCATTCCACTGGTAAAACTGATTTACTACACTGACTATTTCAAAATTAGTGTGTGACTTATAAACACACCTTCTCTTGTTCCCTCTGGTTCAGGCCTTGGCATAAGGGCAATACTTCCTTAAATATGACTGCTGTGAAGGTTGTGCATGTCAAAGTAGAAGCATGACCATCAGCACAATAAACAAAAGAAAGTGTTAGTCTCCCAGAAAGTCAGCCTTGTTGTTTATCACCTAGGAAAGTGAACACAAAGACTTCTTCCCTGTGTGTGAAGTGATTGATGTTAGTCCACTATTATTTCTTTTGCATGTGCTTCCGTCAGATGAATTTCGCTCTAGGTAAGTGGAGATGAATGTTGGAGGGAATGGTGGATGACAGCCGGAGTGGCCCTTGCGGGAGATGAGTCAGGGAACCTGCCAGTCTCTTCCCAAATGATGACATTTCATTTTGTCTGGTACTTTTTCCATTCAGTATGGCAGGTGCAGAGGCGACAATCAATAGTACTTTTTTGTTCTCACTTTCTCCCCTCACTATCTCTTCACCCCTGTGTCTCCTCCCAAGCTATGTATGTGTCTGCGCCTTTTCTTTTCAATCTAGCTTGCTCTATTGAACTCTCTTTTCCCACTCTGTTGTGTCTTGCCTAGCTTGTCTCCATCTCACCCCCTCTTGCCTTTTCCTCCTCGGCATCCCCTCCTTCCATCATCCGTGACTCTCAGCAGCACATATCGGTGGATAACTAATGGTAATGGACTTTGCTCCCTGATGTGGGAATTCTGCAATCAGCCACTCTGCATGACACATGCGTTGATGGCCTTAATTTTCTCAGACTTTAATGCCCCTCAACATTATCAGCAGCAAGAAGACAGCACACAAATAAGCACTGCTAACAGCAGAAGAGTGATTAATCCTGTCAGTGAAAGTGTTCTTCATTGATGTGCAGGTAACTCAATCAGCATTGGCAAATAGTCTGTATAAAGTATGCCATGACATCCAGCTTATGACCTTACTGTCTTGATTTATCTTTCTTACTTTTGCTGGTGTTAACTAAGAAAAATAAATAAGACTTTATCACCCAGACCTGACTAGATGATGACACATTTCTGTGTGATGTTCTCTGTAAATATCAGCCATTAATGTGTCTAATGCAGATAACGTGTGATTACTCATGCTGTCCTACAGCAAGAGAGAATGAATTTATCAACTACTGATATTTCAGAAGCAGAATTCATCTTCGGTGCTTGTGTAGATGCATTTATTGATCTTCTAAACTAAAGATGACTTAAAAATAAACACAAACTAAATAAATTGGTCAACTTGTCATGTAGAAAGATTTCCCTTTTCTACTAAAAGTGTTCTTAAAAATCAAGGCACACTATGCCCCTGAGGTTTATTAAATGTGATAAGATACATTATTTCTGAATCATTTTTAATACAACCATGAAAGCACTTCATTTACAACATGCAGGCACTGGCTCTTAATGTCGGTTTTATTTCTTACATTTATTTTCCATTATAGATGATAGAAAATCACCTGAAGGCTGCTTTCAAAAATTATTTGAAACTTTCAACTTTTCTAAAAAAAAAAAATAATAATAATAATTACTCTGCTGCAGGCAGTTCATTTTGCTATGTAAATATACTTTATCATATCTACACAAGAACAAATTTTATTATTTAAAGTCTTCCTTCTTTGTTAATACATAAGAAGTCAGGGATCAAACCTACAACAACACATTATAGGCTACTGACTTTTCCGTTTGATATATGTGAATTTTTTAGTGAAGAGCACTTTTATTTTCATTATCACTGGGGTGTTTTTTTTCTACTGTTTTCATCCATCCATCCATTTTATACCACTTATCTGGGTTCAGCTTGCAGAGGGCAGCATAGACAAAGAGGAAAACTAAAACTAGCTGAGAGATAGAATCTCTCTTTTATGTCCTCCTCTGCCCCTGGGGCTCCTCCCAGTCTCACATGCCCAAAACACCTCATCTAAGAGGCATTCTAGTCAGATGCCCCAACAATCTCAAATGTTTCCTTTTAATGTAGAGAAGTACTGACTCTGCTCTGAACCCCTCGTGAATCAACCTAGCTCTTAATCCAATCTCTGGTGGGCATTCAGACACCCTTTTGACCAAAAGAAAGCTTTCTTTTGGTTTATACACACAGCTTTTGGATATAGGTGAGGGTAGGAATGTAGATCAACCAGTAAACAGAAAAGCTTTGTTTTCATAACAGTTATTTCTTTACGACAACAGACAGGTGCTGCAACACTTCCTCTGTCAATCTTTTACTTCCCTCACAGGATACTTTAAGAAATTAAATTTGGGGCAGCAGCTCATTCCCAACACCAACTGGGCACTGGTAGTTCTTTTCCCAGCCACTTCATACTCATCTGCAAACTGTCCAAACTGGAGGTTGTCATTCAGTGAAGGTTGCAGAATCACATCATCCACAAAAATCAGAGACGAAATCTGAAGAAGAAGATTAAAATAAAATAATTATAATATAAATATAAATATAAAAAATATTTTATTTTACTCCTGTTATAATTAAAGCTTTTAAAGGTTCTTAGACGACCATGGGTTTAACATAGTTACATTTTCATTCATTTCATTTATTTATTCATTTTCAGGCACAACAAATACCTATATTGAACATAAAATACACAAAACAAAAAACAAAACTTGCCTGAAAAAGGAGTGGGACGAAGAAAACTTATTAAATCCCACCCCTATACTCACTCATCAACAAAAAAAAACAATAAACTTCCCGCAGCTACGCCCATCATTGCATACAGACCCATCAACAGCCCCGGGCAGATACAAGCATCTAAGCGGCAGCTCGCAACCAACAATTAGAGCCTTCATAACTGAATACAGAATATATAAATTATAAATTGCATTACCACAGGTAACAGGCAGTAATAACTACAAGTAACAGACACACATACATATACATACATATATATCTACACACACAAGTACATATATGTACATACATACGCACACTTTATTTTTTTATTTTTATTTTGGAATCCATACCAGCAATGGTAAGAGGACAGACATTACAGAGCACACTAAAACCCATCATTGAGTATACTGTGACCAGACCAACTGTTTGTAGAGAAATTTAAATCTATGAATATTTTTGCATTGTTTCAATTGTAAACTCAGACTGTTCCAGATTTTCACACCACATACAGACACACAAAAGCCTTTACGGGTTGTTCGAGTTCTGGGTAATCTGAATTCTCCAAAGCCTCTCACATTATAAACCTTTTCTCGAATTTCAAATCTAGTTTGTAAATTTGCCGGTAAAAGTTTAGTAAAAGCTTTATACAAAATTATGGATGTATTGTAATTAACCAGATCCTGGAATTTAAGTAACTTTGCCTGAAGAAAGAATTTGTGAGTATGATCTAGATAACCAGCCTTGTGAATAATACGCAGTGCTCGTTTCTGTACTGTGACTAATGGATTAGTTGTATTTTTATATGTATTTCCCCACACTTCCACACAATATGTAAGATATGGAAGAACCAGGGTACAGTACAGAGTACGAAGTGCATCTTTATCAAGGAATTGTTTCACTTTGTTCAAAACTGCGAGGCTTCTGGAAATTTTGGTTTTTATGTGTTAATTCAATATCAAACGTTTGCTGTTTTTGCTGTGCCATTCAGACACAGAACAGTGTGGGGAAAATGTATTTTAGTTAACGCAAGTAACACATTTTGCAAAGACTCAGTCTGTCTTTCTTGAAATTGAAAACTGCTAGTTTCAAAGTTTTAGCAGCCTGATTTCCATAGCCTAGACCTCAAATCTATGCAAATGAGTTGCTGGCAACTTGACAACCTGTCCCTCAAAAAGCAATGTGACACCACAAGAATGCACTTGTTGCACACTTGGACAAATGACACTTCCAGGCGTGCATGAGTTCAGAATCGTTCTCTTTACTTGCTCTTTTGCAACTGCAAATACAAAACACAAGCACTTCAGTTCAGCGTAGCTGCGCTCTGCAGGCTATCTGTGCAGTAGAACACACGCGACCATTTTACATATAACTACTGAACACGTGTTAACAAAGTACTCATTTACTCAGTATTTTCCCACCAATGTTCATATTACAATATTCTGCACACTCGTATGCTCCTCCAACTAGTATTGTTGCGCATGGAGACTACCCTCTCGATCCCCTCATTACATCATTTGCGATGTGACATCCCGTTTAACACCAGTTCAGGTACATCATGTAAATCACAAACTCCGACATTAGCGTTGTGTTCCATTAATGACAGTACCATACTCTAATACATTTCTCATACGTCAACATCATTCCGTTTATCAACACATAACTTGTGCTCACCTGCAAATACAAAACACAAGCACTTCAGTTCAGCGTAGCTGCGCTCTGCAGGCTATCTGTGCAGTAGAACACACAGGACCCCAAGGCTGCCCGATTCAGTGCCTGCGTGAGCCCGAAGCTGCCCGTTTCAGTGCCTGCGTGAGCACCACCCGTGGGAATCATCATTGATCAGAGTATCCTAGCTATATTGCCAGTTATCACAGTATGTGTCAGAAATAGTAATACAGAACTGAACGCATAACATAACAATGATAAGAATGCATGAGATTATGGAGGGGGGGCAATATCTATTACAATACTTCCATCTGTGCCCACCCATTACATGAGTCCCACACTCTCCCCTCCAAAAATGAATGTCATCCTGACATTAGAGATTTTTTCCAGAATGCATGTCTTCAACAGAAGGTTACAGCAGTAGCTTCACTGGGAGTCAGCCTCTCAAGATACGTTCTGTCCGGTAACAGTCTTTGGCATGACATACATCTCCCCCTTCATGTCATGTACCAGCAACAGACACTACTGGCCAGGCAATGTCTGTAAAGTCTCTCCGCCACTCAGGCGTGCTCTGTATCCGGCTGAAGGTGTAGACCTATCACTCTACCATGTAACCTTTTACACAGACACACATTTACTGCTGTATATCTCACATACAAGCCAGTATCTCTCTATGTGTAGCTAGTCTGGTTCTGGTATTCCCTGTTTAACTCATGTGAACTATTAAACAAATACATGCAGTTGTTGCTCTGTCAAATTTGCTCTTTTTAACATTTGCTACTGTGAACACTTCCCTTTCTGTTTAAACTGTCACCACAGTAAACTCAACATGTGACAATGAACTTAGTTTTTTCCTCTTAGCTGTGGACATCACTTGTGTCTGTTTATGACTGATGGCTGACCTAAGGTGTCATACGTGAATGTCTTGGGTGGATTTCTGCATCGGAAAGGATACTTTCTTGTGGGAACTGGCTGTGAGTTGGGCTCTCCCTCGTCTTCTTCATCAGATGACGACACCTGTCCTTGACTTCTTCTGTTCTCCTCCCCAGACAGCTCACTTCGCCCTGCCTCTTCCTCCTCTGCACTTGACTCCAGTCCACCTTTTCCACCCTCGTCTAGGCACTCGCTGCTGACACCACCACTTGACAGTTCTCCGTTAGCTTCTTCTGGCTGGAACTCCTCTGCCTCTGCCCTCAGCTGACTCCTGATCTGGGTGGGTGATTCCGCAGCTTGTGTGGTGATAATTCCCCAGTCACCCTCATCCTCTGAACCGCTGTCGTGGTCACTCTCCTGCTGCTTTTCTTGGGTCTTTCCTTTTCTTTGTTGTTTGGCATCCTCCTTCCCATTCTTGTTTTTCTCCAGCTTCTCCTCCTGGACGGGGAGAAAGTCACAGGGCAGTAGGAGGTTCCTGTGCAGAACTCTCACTTTCCCTGGTCCTCTCTCTGGCTGTACGGCATAGACAGGGCTATCTTTGTGCTTTCTTTCTAACACGACATGTACTCGTTCCTCCCAGTAAGACCTTAGCTTTCCGGGCCCACCCCGATCTCTGAAGTTCCGTACTAGCACCCGACATCCCGGTTGCAGTTCCACTCCATGAGCCTTCCGATCATACTGCTTTTTCGCTCTGTTCCTCTCTTTCTGGGCTGTTTCTGATGCCAGTCTGTATGCCTCTTGCATCCTACTTCTCCACTTACGGACGTAATCACTGTGAGAAGTACTCTGGTCACCTGGAACCAGGCCAAACATGATGTCCACTGGTAGGTGGGGGTTTCTGCCATAGAGAAGATAACATGGGGCATATCCTGTTGCTTCACTGCGTGTGCAGTTATACGCATGCACCACTTTGCTCAAGGAGTTTTTCCAGTCCGCCTTGGCTTCCTCTGTCAGGCTCCTCAACATGGAAAGGAGTGTCCGATTAAATCTCTCCACCTGGCCGTTCCCCGCTGCATGGTAAGGTGTTGTGCGTGACCCCTGGATTCCACAGTACTTTTCCAGGGTGGCAAACAGCTGGTTCTCAAACTCCCTTCCCTGATCATGGTGTAACTGGGCAGGGAATCCAAATTTGAGCACAAAATCTCCAAAGATCTTTTCTGCCGCTGTTCTTGCTGACTTGTTGGTGCATGCATATGCCTGTGCAAACCGGGTGAAATGATCCATCACGACTAGGATGTACTCATATCCTCCTTTACAACTCTCCAGATGCAGGAAGTCTATTGAGACCATCTCAAAAGGGTATGTGGTGACAATGTTGACCAGCGGTGCTCTGTCTGGTTTGCCGGGACGTTTCCGTTTCAAGCAACTGCACACCTTAGTCACATAATGTTCCACATGTCTTTGCATATGTGGCCAATAGAATCGATCACGGACCAAGGCGAGTGTCCGCTCCACTCCGAGATGTCCCATTTCCTCATGGAGCTCCTTGTACACCAGCTGATGGAATTTTGTGGGTAACACTAGCTGAGCTCGAGCAGCTGATTTCCTGTACAGGATGTCATCTTTGTCGAGGTACAGCTTACTCTTTTCCCGGCTTAGAACGGAAGTGTCTTCCCCCCTGTCTCTTCCTCTCCAAGGGGGCCATTTTCCTGTCATAACACATTCTCGCACCCTGCCAATGACTGGATCATCCTCCTGTGCTTTCTTTAGTGTCTCTTTGGAGATCTGTGTCACTGGGGCCATTACTCGTTCAAGCTTTACATCAGCACATGCTGTGGTTATGGTAGCTGGACACATCCATGGCTCATCTTCATGGGCTTTCAACTGAAGCACCTCTGTCGCAGGGGTGATTACCTCTGGTTTCATTTCCTGCGAGCATGTGCGCATGTACTCCTCCATGTCTAGCGGCATTCGTGATAAACCATCAGCATCGCCATTAGCCCTTCCCGGCCGATACTTGATTGAGAAGTTAAAATCGGCTAGCTCAGCAACCCACCGGTGTGTTGTAGCATTTAGCTTCGCTGTAGTCAGGACGTAGGTCAACGGATTGTTATCTGTATACACTGTGAAAGAAGGTGCGTAGTACAGATACTCCCGAAACCTCTCACAGATTGCCCACTTCATTGCTAGAAACTCTAGCTTTCCAGAGTGGAGGTGGTAGTTGGTTTCTGGAGCTGTTAGAGTTCTCGACCCATACCCAATGACAACCAGTTGGCCCTGCTGTCTCTGGTACAGGACTGCACCAAGCCCTTCTTGAGAGGCATCACAGTGCAGCACAAATGGCCTTTCGAAGTCAGGGTATGCCAGGAGTGGTGGACTCAGCAGGTGTTCTATCAGTTGGCATAGCACTGCCTGGTGTTGTTCTGTCCATGTGATTGGCTGGCTTGAGTGGCGTTGGTCTGCTTTTTTCCGCTGTCCTTTGTGCTTTGTTACCGTTGATCTTCTGTCAGTAATCACTTGACTCTTTCCGATCGATAGCAGCTGGTATAGTGGCTTGGCAGTGCGTGAGAAGTTTGGAATGTAGTGCCAATTCAGCAGGGTCCATGCAGTAGCCATCTTTGGATACAATTTTTCCCAAGAATTTCACCTTGTCCTTGAACACTTCACACTTTTTGGGGTTAGCTTCACCCCGTGCTCTTGGTAGCGGCGCAGGACCTCCCTCAGATCACGCAGGTGGTCCTCAAATGATCTGCTGTGGACCAAATTGTCATCCAGATATGGCTGAGATATTTCATCCCTCAAGCCTGCCAGGCACTCTTCCATACTGCGCTGGAACTCTGCTGGAGCCGAGGACAAACCAAAGGGAATCCTTACCCACTCATATAAGCCCCAAGGTGTGATGAAGGCTGTGAGGGGTCTGCTACTCTCCTCCAGGAAACCCTGGTGGTACGCCTTGCCCTGGTCCAACACTGAGAACCATGCACTCCCAGTCAGGCTGTTTAGCATGTCTTGAACACGAGGGATGGGGTGACGGTCAGGAATGGATTTCCGGTTTAACTCACGGTAATCCACGCAGAGACGCAGACTTCCATCCTTCTTGCGCACACAGACGATGGGCGATGAGTAGGGGGAACGGGATTTCTGAATCCATCCTCTATTCAACAGGTCCTCCAAATACTCCTTCACCTCCTTGTGGAGTGGCTTGGGGACTGAGATGTATGTGCGTCTTACTGGGGTTGTGTCATTCAATCTGATCTTTAACTGCAGGGAGGGGATGCATCCCACATCGCTCTCATCTTTTGAAAATGCAGCACACTCATCACGCAGGACTTTTCTCACCTGCTCCTGCTGGTCTGGGGTCAGGTGATCAACTGACACCGGTGGGTCCCATAAATCTTGGCTGCATCTGCCCACCTCTTCATACTCCCCTTTGTGCTGTTCTGGGGCGCTGATGGTGCTCCCTGTGTTTTCACTAGCACACGTCAACTTGCCCATGTTTTCAGCACTTACTGGTCTTACGTCTACTGGGTAAATAGCCTTCACTTGCTGTAGCCGTCCCAACACTACATGAGGGAGGAGGGTGATGTCCTGGCTGCCACCATTCGTGACTGGAATAACCACACTGGACCAGGTTCCCCTCTGCAGGCCAATGACAGTTTCATTCAGGTTAACCCCCTCTGGTAGTTTTGAAATGTCTTCTGGTTCGAAAAGAACCTCCTGTTTCAGGGGGAGGGGACCTGTCCTCACACTGCACTTAACCTCCCTGCTTTGTCCCGCTGGAATCACTATCTTTTGTCTCCCAACTTTCACCACACCCTCCTCGTCGCTTTTGTAGCAGCGCTGCACGATGTTAATTAGCACTTCCGCTTTCTTACAATCAATTGAGAAGGCTTCCTTTACCACCGCAGGTGTAACGTCTGGATGCTGCTCCATTCCATCCTTTACAAAATGCTCAATCACATTATAGCCAATGATAGGTGGCTCTGCTACTCCTGGTTCTTTTGAGACAAGCACGGGGACAACTAGCTCTGGCTGTGGATCTCTAGTTGACCCCAGTCTAAATTTTAGCTCAACCCAACCTGCGAAGGGTATGGGTGTTTGGTTCGCTGCTTTGCCCACCAGAGCCTCATCCTCACCTAGGAGTTCACTTGTGCTTCTCAGTTGGATATGTGGAAAGCAGGACTTCCTCCAGTTCTCATTAATGATAGTCACCTGTGAGCCTGTATCCCACAATGCTTGCGTTTCTACACCTTCAAAGAAACAATCCACCATACACTTCTTCCCGATCAGGGCTCTCAGCTTAGCCTGACAGCGTAGTGAGAGATGACTGGCATACGTGGCACCCACAGTCTCTTTAGCCTTGCCACACTGCTCTAATTCTGCCTCCAACTGTCTTATCCGATTCCAAAGCAGTTCATGCAACTTGTCATCTGCTTCAGCATGGATGGGAATTAATGATTTGGGAGGGGCGATGGTCTGGATTCCCACTTGAGTGCTCTCCGATCTTTCTGTTGCCCCCCTTCGCCCTCTACAGCCTCTGGAGAGGTGTCCTGGCTGGCCACACTTGAAGCAGTGTTCACACCCTTCATTGGTTCCCTGCTCCTGGCATGCCTTACATCCCCTCCTCCCACTGGTTCTTAGTGGGCGAGTGGGGCCTTGAGGGGTGGTGATGCTCCTCCTTAATTCAGCCATCTCCTCTCTCAGCAGCCTGACCGCTTCATGCAGCTCTGACTCTCGGGAAGCAGCTACAACAGGTGTTCTGCGGTTCTTGGATTTCACCACTTCAGCTGATTGCTCTTGAGTCCCCAACCTAGTTTCGGCTACACCCAGACCCAATTGACTGGCTGGCCTTTCCGTCTGGAGTTCATTTACTTTCACAGATTTGCTGCCTGTAGTTTTCTTTTGCTTCAATTGTCTTTCTGATTCAACACTAGCTGCTTCATTCATCTTATCAATGAGGATTTCATCTGTCACCCGAGGGTCATCCAGATAGGGCTTGAGCTGAAACTTGATAGGGTCACTCAGTAGCACAGTACTGACCGACCTCAAGAATTTCTTCTGGATGAGCTCAGGGCTGTATTGTTCATCGGACCCCGTGTCTTCCGATGCAAGCAGCAGCCTCTCTTTTAACTCAATTGCTCTGAAGAGGAAGTTTTGGGGAGACTCACGGCTGTCTTGTGTGACGTTCACTAGTCTGTGATACAAATCTGTGGTGCTATCTTCTTTAAAATGCCCCTTTAATATGGCCTTCAATTGGGGGAGGGGGAGGTCACGTTTTATCTCAAGCATGTCTCTAAGACTCAAACCTGGGCTGACAGACTTCACCACAGCCTCTATAACCTCCGCTTCACTGTGTCCTTTGTTCAGACCTCTGTCAATCTGATGCATCAGGTTGGTGTATGAGAGTCTGTCCTTTTGGCCCTTCTCCCCAATTTGACCACAGATTTTGAATTCCCTCCTTATCGTCACTTCCGAAAGGCGGTTGGCTGCGACAAGAAACACATTTTGTGGGGTGGTTGGTTGATTTGGTGGTGTCCTCTCCACCCTTTCACTCAGCCTCCTAATTTCTTCCTGCAGTGCTTCGCTGTTTCTCTGGAGCTGTGCGTATCTCTCTGCTAAATCAACTTCTTCCCTTGTTTCCTGGGTTCCCTGTGGCGAGCTCGTTGTATTTGATCCACTTTCTGTGTTTCTGGAGCTCCCTATCGCTGGGTCGACACTTTCTAACATTTTCTTTAGATAGCAGAGCGCAACATCCTGTTCTTCATCATTAATAACCTTGTCCATCGATTCTGTAATTAATCTTATTAACACTCGTCTTGTTGTGACATTTCCACTAGGGATTTTAGCTTCAGCACATACCCC